CCGCCATCAGACTGCCGCCGCGCCCTCTCGAAATCCAATTGCCCCGCGCGCCCGCTCAATTCAGCAGAGTCTCCTCGCGGTGCGACGCTCGGCGGGCTGCGCGGATGCCCCCCAGACTTCGGCGGGGAATATCAAGTCAAAATATGTCAGATACCTCTGACAGAGTTTGAAAAGATTCTGGAAGTTTGCAAACGTCCACCGCGCGCAAACACGCGCCCCGCAGCGCGCCAATCAGGGCCAAAAAAACGCGCCGGCCCCGCGCGCGTCAAAATGCGCGAGGACATCCGGGCGAAAGGCCCCCGCTCCTCCCCCCCCTCCCCCCCCCCTCCTCCTCCCCCTCCCCCTCCTCGTCCTCCTCCTCCCCGTCGCAATCCTCCACCATCTCCTTCTCCTCCTGCCCCCTCCTCCTCCTCCTCCTACCCCTCCTCCTTCTCCTCCTCCTTCTCCTCCTCCTCCTCCTCTCCCCCCCCGGATCCCGCCTGTTCCCCGCCCCCCCCCCGCCCTCTTCGCCCCGGGCCCCCCCCTTTCGGGGCCCGCCTTCATCCGCCAGCTGCCTCCCCCGCATGCCCCGCCCCCCTCGAATTCGCCCCCCCTCGTCGCCATCGTCGCCGCCCTCGCCGCGGCCGCCGCCGTCGCCGCGCCCGTTCTGGGCCGGCTGCGCCGTCGAAGGGCCGCGAGAAGATCCCGGCGAAAGAGATGGGCGGGGAAAAGGGGGGGGGGGCGGGGGCGGGGCGAAGACGAGGGGCTGCAGGGGGGGGGCGCGAAGATCAGCAGGAGGATCAGCATGACGACGTCGAGAAGGAGGGGGGGCGCAGCGGGGGGGGGCGGGGGGAGGGGCAGCAGGGGAATCAGCAGGAGGAGAACGGGGGGAAAGGAAGAGGCGGGGGACGCCGAGGGCGAGAGGGGGGAAGAAAGGAGGGGGGTTTTGAGTCACGCGAGGCACGGGCGATCGGAGGCGCGCCGCGGGCCGCCGGGGCAGGAGGGAAAGGCCTCGCAGAGATCAGGGCGCCATTGCCCCCCGCGGGCGCGGCCGACATCCCGCGTTGGCACTGCTGTGAACTAGCGCTGATTCTCACTTAAGGCGACCCCCCCTGTTCTCTCGGCGGCGAAGCGCGCTGGTCCTCGAAGCCGCCGCGGCGGCGATTAGTTTCCATATCCTGCGGGGAGGGCGGGGCAAGGCAACGCGGCTGCGCTTCTTTCTCGCGCGCGGAACAACGCCCCCCTGGGCGACCCCGCACTGGCCCGGCCAAGGAAGAGGGGGGAAGATGGGGAAGGGGAGATGGAAAAGGAAGAGGGGGAAGATGGGGGGGGGAGGAGGAGGGGGAGAAAAGAGTGGGAGGAGTGGGGAAGAACAAGGAGAACGCTCGTTAACTTCAAAATTCAATCGGCACGCGTTCACGATTCGCTGTCTACACGTGAAAACGCACCTTGCAGGTCCATCGGGCGCGCGCCGATTGCAGACGCGAGCGCGCAGGGCAGCGCGAAGCCACGACAGTGAGACGCTGGGCGCACAGAGCAAACAGTGATTCGGACCCGCGAATGGCACGGCTTCGACCCCGTCGGCGCGCGCGAGGGGCTTGTCCGTTCATGTCGCCATCTCCGCGTCATTCGTTGGTCGTCGTCTCTCTCGCCCCCTTTCCCTCCCCCCCCCCTTCTCCGGGCCCGTCGAAGCCGCTCCCTTTTCCGGGGGCCTCCTCGGCGCGCCAGCCGCAGCAAAGTTGAACAACGTCGTAATTGAATCGAAAGGAAGCCCCTCCCCTTCGACCCCTCCCCCGCCGGGGGGGGGGGGGGGCAAGCGCGCCGGGGCCCAAAAAGCCTCTAGACGGGCCAAGAGCGCCCCGAGAGGCCCCATAGACAATCCAAGAGAACCCCGAATCGCCGAACGATTTGTCCAAGACGCCTTGACGGCCTCCAGACGGCCCAAAAGGCCAGCGCAGCTTCCCACGGCCTCCAGGAGCATTCCCACGAGAACCCCAAGAAGCAAAAATCATGGATTCCCCATGCGCGTTTGAAAGATGTGGGCGTTCTTGCCTCCTCCGTTTCCCGACGCGCTAGGACGGCCCAAGACGCCCGCGAGATCGCCCCGAGACGGCCCGGGAGGCACCCAGGAGCGCCCCCCCAACGGCCGAGGAGTGCCCCAAGACGGCCCCCAGACGGGGGGGCCGAACGGACATTTCGAACCCCCAGCTCAAAGAGGCCCCGAAGAACCCCCAAGAGGCCCCAAGAGGCTCCCAAGGGGCCCCCAAACTTGCCCAAGACAGCCCAAGGGGAACCCCAAATTGCCCAGGAAGCCTCCGAGGGTGCCTCGACGCGGCGCAAGAGGACCCGCGGACGGTCCAAACCGGCCTCAAGAGAGCCCCAGGCTGTCCCAAGAAAGCCTCCGGCCTCCTCCTCTTCCTCCTCCCCCCCCCCTCTGCTCCCCTCCCCCTGCTCTCCTCTGCCTCCATCTCCTCATCTGCTTCTCCTCCGCATCCTTCTCCCCCCCCCTCCCCCCGCGCCCACCTCCCCCGCCCTTCCTCCGCCCCCCGCCCCGCCCCCCCCCCCCCCCCTGCCCCCCCCCATCGTTTTCATGTTCGTCGTTCTCAGGTTAGGTCCGGCAATATATATATATATATATATATATATATATATATATATATATATATATATATATATAACACACAACAAAAAGCTGCGAAAACTCAAACCCACGAAAAACTCCAAACAAAACCTGGAACTCAAACCTGGGAAAAACTCAAACCAAAGAAAAACGCCAGGAAATACTCTGGAAACGACTCTAAATAAATTCAAAAAACCAATGGGAAAAACTCAAAACTACTGAAGACTTTAAAAACTCTGGGACAACGATATAAAACTCTAAACGCTTGAAAACTCCAGAAAAAAAACTATACAAAAAGAAAAAACAAACTCTTCGACAAACTGTTTAAAACACTCTGGACAACTCAAAGAAGTCTGGGTTTAAAATATAAAAAAAAAAACGGTTTCGGGTTCGAGATTTTCTGTCGTTTCTCCTGTGTTCGAGTTTTCCATTGGTTTTGCGTTTGAGATGTTCTCCGGTTGTCTTGGATTTTGAGTTTCCAAGTCAAGATTTTTTGCTACTTTTGAATTTTGAGTTCCTGGCCGAAGATGTTTTAAAGATTTCGGCAGGTTTCCCCATGGACCGCCTGTAGTCAATTGCCGAACCTGATCTCAGGGTCGGCGGCGCCGGCCGCGAGGCCTTCGCATTATTGATTTGGGCCCGTGAATGGCGCGGTTCTGGCGAATTTGGGGCGCGCGGAAATGCGTCGCTCTTGCCCGACATCTTCGCGCCTCAACGCTGGCGCTCCGCGCTGTCGTTCACGACGCGTTTCACGCGCGCCCAGCCCTGTCGGCGCGCGTCGCCGTCATGAGTGCAAAGCTCCCCGCAGGAGCTAATCGCGCAAGCATTCGCCCGCCTGCTCAGTCGCGGAACCTCGCGTCGACTTTCGATAGTCGGGCGGGCGCCCGCTCGAGAGCCGGGGCGAGAGGCTGCAACACATTGCGCCGCGAAAGGGGCGGGGGCGGAGGCGCCCGCGACCCTCGCGGCTCAGGGCGCGCCCCCGTGCAGTTTGAAGCCAGATGGGAGAAAAAACGACTTCTGCTAGTCATCGCCGCGATCGCTGGGAGTCCGCCGCGCTGCCCCCGCCGTCGGGGGCGGCGCCCTCCGGCGCGGGGCCGGGCGATGCGATCGCCCCTCTCCGCGGGGCCTCCCCGAATCCAGCCGCGCGCGCATTAACTTCGAAATCTAATCGGTCACCGCTGGAGCTTTGCTCTGGTTGCCAGGCCAACGTGGCAACTTTTCCCTTTGTGGGCAATGCGCATCCCGCCACGCGCGCGCGGACGCGCGCGGCCACCGATGCTTTGTTCAGATCGAATGTTGAAATTACGCCGCGTTGTTCTCAACGTTTTCAAAGATGAAGAAAAGTCGACATGTTGGATGGAAGCCCACGTGAAACCTCAACGGTGACCAACCCGATATCGGGCGACCCGCCCGCGCGCGGGCCGCCCGATCGCGCGCGCGCGCGAACGCTCGCGCGGCGCGCTCTGCATTGTCTACGAAGGAAAATGGCCGCGTTGGCTTGGGAACTGAACGAAAACTCAACGGTGATCAGCTGGATCTCGGGCGACCAGCCCGCGCACGGATCGCCCGATCGCGCGCGCGCGCGCGAGCGCGCGCGCGGCGAGTCCTGTGTTCACCGCAATGGAAAAGTGGCAATATTGGCCTGGGAACTATACTGAGTCCCAAGCGAGACCGACTGGACTTTGTAGTCAACATGCGTTGTTGTTTTCATGTTCAAGAACAGACATGTAACAGTGACTCATCGAAATCTTAAGTTGGCATGCGTTTTCAAAGGTATATGCGCGAGGCAATCTATCACGCGCGTCTAGAAATTAAAATGTCGCCGCGCTGGCCACGAAGCGAAAAAGTGAACGGCGACCGAGAGGACTGTGAAATTCGCACATCGCTCTGACGTTTTCAAGAATAGAAAAGCAGCCGTGTTTCACGCGAGGAGGATGCATGATAAAATTACCATGAAGCCTGCACTAGAAAAGCGCTTCGTTCTGACCTGGGAGTTCGCGCGAACTCGCTCGCCTAGCGCCGCCGGCAAAAACTCCAGCCCGCGCCTGGTCGGCGCGCGCGGCGACGTTGGATCAGTTCCTCCATTGCTGGGCGGGCTGAGTAACGTTCGGGGATTATTTCTCCAGCGGGGCAACCTACTGCGGGCTACCCTGCACGCGGGAGGATGAACGGTCATCTGCTCGCTTCGCTTTGATTCGCGGGCATGCTCAAACATGCCCGCCGTCGCCTGGCCAGAGCGCGCGGCGACGTGATATTAGTTCCCCTCTATTGCTAAGCGGACTGGGTAATCTTAGATGATTATTTCTCCAGCGGAATCGCCCACGACGCCACCACGCACGCGAAAAGATCCGAGACCATCTTCCCACGAGGACTGCAATGGGGATTTGCGGAGGAAGAGGAATCAGCGGGGGGCGAGAAGGAGGAGGAGGAGGAAAAGGAGGAGAGGCCAGACGAGGAGATCAAGGATGGGAGGCTCTCGCGAGAGCCAGACCCCGGCGCGCGAGGGCGCAATGAAAGGTGGCCACTGCGGCTCAAAACTGAAGCCTCGAGGCTCTCTGGAGGCGGCTAACCAGCGCGGCCTGAGCACGGGGCCTGGCGCCGACGCCGCGGGTGGCGCGAATTTGCCCCCTCGATTGCCAGGTGGGCAAGATAATGTCGGGGGGGTCTTTTTCCCGGCGAATGATGATCTCTGGGCGACCCTGCGCGGCCGACGGTGCTTGAGCACGTATGCAAGCAGATTGCTATGTAGATCGGCAGACTCGTTGCCCAGGGCGCTGCTCGCCATCTCCTCCTTCGCCTCGCCGCGTGCGCCACGAGACAGTGCAGTGCAGCTGTATACGCACGCGACCTCCACGTGCATCTCCAGCGTCCGCGCCCGCGACGGGGCCCACCGATTGGAGTTCGCCGCGCTGGATATTGGAGGCCTGGAAATTGGCACCAACACCAACACAGGGGGCTGCCTCCACAGGGGGAAGATGATCGTCGATTTCGGCGTTGGTGGTAATATCCCGGTCACCTTGGAAACCATAATCTTACCACCACCACCGAGATCGGGATCGTCTTCCCTCGGTGGAGGCAGACCGCCGATCTTGGTCTTGGTGTCAACCTCTAGGCCTGCGAGGATAATGTTGGCGGTTTTTTTCCTCGGCGATGGGGGCCCCTTTTTGGCTGCGCGCGCCCAGCGGCGCGGCCCGCCGACGGTTTCTCTCGTATTATGTGGGTGGGCGGGATCATGTCGGTGTCTTCTGAACGCCCGAAATGGGCACGGAAACAAAAGGGTACAATGCCCAACAACAAATGTTGTCCCGAACCAACAGCGGCCGCTGTTGGGCGGGCGGCCTCCTGTCTCGAACGGACATAGGCCGCGGCGGCGCGGACAGCGAGTCCTGTTCAAGACGAACAGGAACTACTGTTCGGCATTGTACCCATTCTTTCCGTCGGGCGTCCAAATTTCTTGCTTCTCCAAATGAATACTGCTCGCTGGGTAACCCGGCTCGACAAAGAGAAGTTTGAACACATCTGTAGGAGGATCGCATTCTAAATCGGCACATGTGCTACCAGAAACGTTGCTCGCCATCCCCTCCCTCATCTCGCTGCGTCTGCCCAGGGATTGCACAGCGTCGGCGCCCACGACGCCGACCGCCAAAAAGTTGCCTATTCTTGCTCGCCGTGTTGGATAATGATTGGGGGGTCGTTCCTTCGGCGAATAATGTACCCTGGGCTTCTCTGCGCGACGAACGAATTCTGAGCGCCCTGATAGAAGGATTGCAAAATAGGTCGCATTCGTCGCCGAAGCTGGTTCTCATAATCAGTAGCGTACATGCGCAAAGGGATGGCAATATAGATCGCGTTCGTCGCCGAAGCCGGTTTGCACAGTCAGTCGCGTGATGCTTCCTTGCTCGCATGGGAGCTGCAACGCAAGCCAGTGCATCTGCAATCTACATTTGCTGTTTCGTCGTCGGCGAACGCATCGCCGACGACGAACATGTAGATGTAGATTGTGGGTGGCCCGCGCAGGGCTTGAAATTCAACAGTCTTTCTCGGGATGAAGCTTTCAGGATGAAGTTCCTGAGCGCCAAATGTCTGAACCAAGGTTTCCCAGGAGAGCCATGGTGGCGGGCGCCGCGGGGGAAAAAAACATAGTTTCCATCTATCGATGGAACACGGATCCGTAAAGAAGGCTGCCGAAAATATCGAATCGCACCTTACTATTGAAGGGAGGTTATCATGCTTCTCCCTGGCAAGAAGCGCGCGGCCATTGGTGCTGCGTTGTCGCCCATCAATGCCAGCTCTCGCACCCGCGTTGCGAGCGGCCGTGGCGACCCGCCCATTAACGCATGTGGTCGGGCTGGTATGAGCAGTGGCGAAGCGCTCTGGCTTGCCTATAACCCCACCAAAGAATGTTCTAAAGACCTCTTGTGGTTTGCACGAAATGTATGAGAACAATTGTGGCTGAGACTGTTTTGTTTTCAGGCATGTGGCGAATGTTCTAAGAGCATTGTTTTCGGTATTCGAACGTGTTGGGATTTTAAAAATGCAGGAACTGCGGTTGGCCTAGGAAGATGCCGGGGCGCTCGGCCCCTGCTCAAGACATGGCGAGAACGTTGCATGGGACATCGCCTAGTTCCCCCTCTCGCCCAGTTGTAGGCCTCCTGAGTTCGAGGGCCGCGCCGAAGCGTCGCCCGTCCGCGGGGTCGGTCGCTCGGAGACGTCGGGCTTCGGATGCTTCCGGGCCAAGCGGGCACTCATGGATTGGCCCGCCTGGCTGGGATTTCTTCGACTTCTCCTCCACATTGCTCCAGGATCCTTTTTTGGAATTACATGAAGTCGGGTTTGTCCCCCTACAGGGGGATTTTCAACGAACTATATATATATATATATATATATATATATACACATATAACGCTGCACCGGGCCCGGGGGCCCCGGGGCCGCAGCCTCGACCGCAAGTGGGGGGACGTTGGGCCCAGCCCGCTCCCCGGCGGGCCCCAGGCCGGCCCCCGGAGCGCCCAGACGGCCATCCAGGCGACCCCCAGCGGTCTCCGGCGGCTCAAGAGGAGTCTCGAACCGCCCCAGACGCCTCCCAGACGCTCGAAGACCCGTCCAAGAGATCCCCCCAGACGGCCGCGGGAAGCAAAAATAGCCCCGTTCCCTCGTAAAACATACATTTTTACCATACTCGACTTTTTTGGCCTTCGTACCGTCCTTTACGACCTCAGACTCTCCATAGACCGCCCCAAGACGGCCCACGAAGCCCACAAGAGAGCCCCAAGGCGGCCCCAGAGGGGCCAAGGACAGTCCAAGAGGCGCCCAGGACGGCCTAAACGCGTCCCCGAAGTGCCCCAAGAGGGGCCCAAGACGGGACACCCAACTGAACCTTCCAGCCCCCCGGCCCCAGGAGGCCCCCAAGAGGCCCCTAAGAGACCCCCAAGAGGCCCAAAGAGGCCCCCAAGACGCCCGCGGCAGGCCCCCAAGGGCCTCCAGAGGGCCCCCCAAGAGGCTTCCAAGAGGCCCCCCGAGGTTCCCAGGAAGCCCCCAGGAGATCCCCAAGAGGGCCCCAACGGGCTTCTGAGAGGCTTCCCCAAAACCTTCATGTACGTCTACATGCGGCCTCTGGTCAAAAAACCTGGGACCGTTCCTGGGGCGCCGCCTGATTGGCACAGGTTTTCTTTGTCTCTGTCAATGGGTGGAGCGGCAGCGACCCTTGTCTCTGGGGCCGACTTTTCAGCACCCTGTGGGGCAAGATTCGTTTAAGATGTGCGCCGTTCTATGCGGGAGGACGCTATGCGAATCCTTCCTGTGGTGCCGTACGTGGAACTCTCAGTGGGGCACGTTCCGTGTCGCGGGCATCGCACCTGAGCGGTGACCTCAACTAGAACCTGAGCGCGCGCGAAGCGCGCGCGATGGTGCTAGTATATATAAATACCTATACGACCACCCTGCGGGTGAGAAGGAGGTGAGGGGGGAGGGGGAACCAACGTCTCACTCAATCCATCTCGCTATCGATCTCACATTCGATATCATTATCGATATCACTATCGATCTCGCTATCGATCTCACTATCGATCTCACAATCGACCTCACAATCGATCTCACATTCGGTCTCACATTCGGTCTCACTGTCGATCTCACAATCGATCTCACAATCGATCTCACAGTCGATCTCACATTCGGTCTCACATTCGGTCTCACTATCGATCTCACTATCGATCTCACAATCGATCTCACTATCGATCTCACATTCGGTTTCACATTCGGTCTCACTATCGATCTCACAATCGATCTCATTATCGATCTCACAGTCGATCTCACTATCGATATCACAATCGATCTCGCAATCGACGTCATCATCATCATCATCATCATCATCATCATCATCATCATCATCATCATCATCATCATCATCATCATCATCATCATCATCATCATCATCATCATCATCATCATCATCATCATCATCATCATCATCATCATCATCATCATCATCATCATCATCATCATCATCATCATCATAATCATCCACATCATCATCGGGACACCGACGGGACACCGACGGGACACCAGCGGGACACCGGCGGGACACCGCGCGCCACCGGCCGCCCGGAAGGGAAACATTTGGTCCGGCCGCGCCTCAGCCACAGGAGAACCGACGGGACACCAGCCGGACACCGGCGGGACACCGCGCGCCACCGGCCGCCCGGAAGGGAAACATTTGGGCGGTCGCGCCTCAGCCACAGGAGAACCGACGGGACACCAGCGGGACACCGTTTGGACACCGCGCGCCACCGGCCGCCCGGAAGGGAAACATTTGGTCCGGCCGCGCCTCAGCCACAGGAGACTTTCTCTCGCCCGCCCACGCAGCTTCGCCTCGCCCGCACGCACGGCACGCACGAACACGAAACCGAAATCGATTTCCCGGTAGGGGGGCTCTCCGTTCCACTTCGATCTCACCCCCTCACCTCCGATATATATATATATATATATATATATATATATATATATATATACATACACACACCAAAAAAACTAAGACTATTTTTGAATATTCCTCCTGTAGAAGGACAGGCCCGACTTAAAATTAAACCCTTTCAGATTCCTTCACATTCATCCGAATTCCTCCTGATTCCTTCAGAATCCTCCAAACTCTTCCAGATTCCTCCAGATTAGTCCTGGCTCCGCGCTCTGGCAGATCAGTCCAACTCAAGACAGGTTCCTTCAGATTCCTCCAGATTCCCCCCGATTCCTCCACAATCCTTCAGATTTTTCACTATTTTCCCAGACTCCTCCAGATTAGTCTTGGTTCTGCGCTCCGGCGGATTCGTCCAGATCGCTCCAGATTCTTTTAGATTCCTCCAGATTCCCCCAGATTCTTTGCGATTCCTCTAGACTCCTCGAAATTTTTCCAAACTCCTCCAGATTAGACTTGGTCCCGCGCTCCGGCGGATTCGTCCAGATCAGTCCAGATTCCTGGAAGAATCTGGAGGTTCTGGAAGAATCCAGAGGATCCTGGAGGATTTGGACCGAGCGTCCCGACATTCCTATAGGCTAACCACGAAACCAACATGTCCTACTGACGAAAACAATGCTCTTATAAAATAAACCCTATGCCTCAACCAGGTCAGTATCAGCCAATATTGTCCGAACAACATCTCGCGCAAACCACAAGAAGTTGTTAGAAACTGGTGGGCCTATAGGCAAGCCGGGACGCTTCGCCACTGCTTAAATGTCAGCCCGACCACATGCGTTCACGGGCGGATCGCCACGGCCGTTCGCAACGAGGGTGCGATCGCTGGCTCTGCAGGGCGACAACGAAGCACCACTGGCCGCAGGCTTCCTGCCAGGGAGAAGCATGCCAACTTTCCACTAACCGGGAGCTGTCTTTAGAACCCCCCATTCAATGAGGCGTGATTATTTTTTCCGGCGGTCTTATTCGCGGATTGGTGTTACACCACTCGAGGGAAACAAATTGTTTTTTCCCGCGGCGCCCGCCACCAGCGCTCTCATGGAAAACCTTGGTTCAGAAACTTGGCGCGCAGAAGCTTTATCCTGAAAGCTGCATCCTGAGACTGTTGAAATTCAAGCCGTGCGCGGGCCACCCACAATCTACATTTACAGCTTCGTCGTCGGCGACGCGGGCGCCGACGACGAAGCTGCCAGTGTGGATTGTAAATGCACTGGCCTGCGTTGCAACTCCCTTGCAAACAAAGAAACACCACGCGTCTAACTGTGAGAACCGGCCTCGGCGACGAATGCGATCTATGTTGCAATCCCGTTGCACATGTACGCGACTGACTGTGAGAACCGGCAACGGCGACGAATGCGAAACGACGCTTAGATCGACGCTAGATCGACGCTGGATCGACGCTAAATCGGCGCTACCTCATCGACCCCCAGACGCCAATCGACGATAATCGACGCCAAAGGCGGAATTAAACCAGGCTCCCATGACTTGCTACCGAATCCCCCCACCCTGACGCGGGGAACGTACACAGACCCCCTCTGGTCACAAAAAGCAATCACGACGGTAGGTTATGCGCAGTCCCTGGCCTCTGGGGTTCCTTACCGGCCCTCGGGACCCTCAAACACAACAAAAAAGACTCAGGCTGAAACACCAGTCCTGGGCAACGGGTCGAGACTTGTGGACATCGCAAAGCAAAGCACAGAGGCCGTCGTGGGCAGAAATAGAAACTAACAAGTTGCCGCGGCCGCAGCGGGCGCCTCCAGGGGGGAGGAGGGGAGAGGAGGGAGGAGGTGGAGGAGGAATCGACGTCATGGAAAAATCATGACGTCGGGGGTCTGGGTAAGGGGGGGGTGGCACCCAGGTGGGGTTCGAGCAGGTGGGGTCGGAGGACCGCGCCGCATCGCCGATGCCTCGCCGAGCCACCATCCCCCCCCCGCACGGAAGCCGCAAGTCGCGAGCCTGTGGGGCCCGCGCTCCGCCTGTGGCCTGCCCCCCTGCCCCCCCCCCGACGGAGGCAACGCGGAAGGACAACTCCTCCACAAGACCTCCTCTGCTCGGCGGACAGGAAGACAACGCTCCACGTGCAACGGCTGGGAGAGCTACATGCGGTAGCCGCAATGACCAAATCCGCTGATAAATCATGCGCGCGCTGTCACGCCGGCTGGCGGAGCACGCGCTGGATGCACGCGGATTGGCAGGAGACGCTGGGGGCAGATGGCAACATCTCATGTCTCTTCAAATATGGTGTGAGAGCTACTCGCAGGAGCCGCAATGCCCAAATGCCTTAAGACATAATAGGCACACTGTCAAACTAACTAATTGGCTGGCCCGCTGTCACGCTGGCAGGAGTCGCAGGAGGCAAAGGAGAGGAGAGAAGAGCAGGAGGAGCAGGAGGAGCAGGAGGAGGAGGAGGAGGAGGAGGGGGAGCAGGAGAAAGGAGAACAAGGCAGATGGAACGTCATTTACGCAAAACCTGCGTGGCATGAGTGCGGGGCATCAAAAACGGCTGGCGCACGTTCCGCCTGCAAATAGTTCAGCCTGAACATATTCCCTTTATAAGATTAAAGATGCTTCGCTACGCGAGCGAAAATACTGCGCTGCTGGGACTGGCAATGACTGCACCTACTGGCGAAACTGGTAAAGGTGACACTCTTGCAATGCAACCTGTTTGTAGCGGGCTTGAAACGAGGCCCATTGCCTGTAGTGTGCGCCTTGCGTTGGTGTGGGCAGGGTTGGACTCAAGACGAATGGGATGACGGAGGCGGCGGGCGGGGGCTGTAGAGATGACATCGACGAGCACGCGCCAGCGACGCGCGCGAACGGGGCCAGAGTGGAGCACGACCCAGCGCTCGTGGCAGAAACCCTCCCGAGGAGTCGCTGGCCTCCCAGCCTCTCCCCCGCCCACGACCCCCCGTCCCCCAGCCCCCCCCCCCTCCGCGGCCACCGTCCACCTGCCACCGCCGAGGCCACCGTCCGCCCGCCCGGCCGCTGAGTCGGGCCTGGAGACGGGGCCAGAGTGCTCGTGGCAAGGAAGGCGAGTCCTCCGCGGCCACCTCCTCCTCCGCTGAGCCTCTCTTCCTCCTCCTCCTCCTTCCTCCTCCTCCTCCTCCTCCTCCTCCTCCTCCTCCTCCTCCTCCTCCTCCTCCGCCCCCCCCCCCTCCCTCGAGCCCCGCCCGCCGCACCCTCCGCGGCCGCCCTCCACCTGCCCGCTCGCTGGGGGAGCACGCCGCGCCGACCACGGCATCACGCCCCCCCCCCCACCCCTGCAGCGTCTGGCCCCCGCTGCCAACCTTTCGATCGGGGATGGACAAAGCCCCCCCTCTAGTAGGGAGCCCACAAAGGACGTACGCGCCCAGCTATGTACATGAACACGGCCCCTCGATCCGCGAGACCGGCCGCGTGATACGAACATTCGCGCAATGCGTACTCTCGAAACCAGCGCGGATTCATGTACATGTACGTCCTTTTGTCGCTCCTGATCTAGCAAAACGTGGCTTAGTGAAACCGACGTCGGGCCCAAACCTGGCGGGCGCAAGCCTGGAAAAGGACGGCCGCGGCGCCCTCTCGAGAACCAAACACGGACAATTCGCGAATCGACGTGTCAGGGTAGGAGGTCCGTCCACCCCCGATTGGATAAACGGACCAGAAGGCGACAGGGAACCTATGCCGACGAACCCCGCGCTGCTTCTTGAGCAGGAGTCGCGCCGTCTGCCGCGGTCTGAGAGGCAGATGAGTCCGGCGTCGTCGAGGTAAAAATGTGGCGCGATGCGCGGCGTCGAAGCGTCGCGGTATGAGAAATGAGCGAGATCTGAGGTCTGGGGTCGAGGTGGAGCCGCCGTCGCCCCTGTCGAGCCTTGGCCTGAGTGCGCGAAGGAGAAAGTGGTGCGAGCACAAGAGAGGGAGTATGGAGGAGGAGGAGGAGGAGGTGGAGGAGGAGGAGAAAGCTCACTCACAACATCTCCAAGTCGCCACACACCTCAGGCTCCACGGGTTCTGTCTCAGCGCCCGCCGTCTCCTCCAGGCCTCGGTTGGGAAGGAGCTCGGGGTGCTCGAAGAGCTCGTGCAACACTGGCAGCAAATCCCCAAAAAGCTCGACCTCGGCCTCCCAGAGCGACCCGTCGGCCGCCAGCCGGAGCTGCTGCGCGTTGACCGGGAAGAAGCGCGGCTCGTCGGCGAGCAGCGCAACCAGGGCCGATGCGTCTGGTGAGGTGGCCTGGGCGTGGAGCAGCTCCCAGTACATGGCCAGCATCACGTTTACGAGCCGCTGCTTGTCGCACCGCAGGCCGTTGCAGTGCTTGCGGCGGCAGCAAGTGAAGTCGCCCTCAAAGATACCGAGAGACATGGCGTGGTCCTCCGTCGAGGCCCAGAGCGGCTGCAGCCCGCACCCATCGTAGACGAAGGCGCTCAGCGACTGAGTGTTTGTCGCCAGGAAGCTAAGCTGCTCGACGCGGCACCAGCCGCGGCGGCGGTAGCTCGCCGTGTCCAACGTCTCCCCCAGCTCCTGGTGCGTGCACGTCGGCGTAACGGCGACGAAGATGCGGCTGCAGGCGACGTAGAGCGAGAGCGAGTTGATGGCGTTCTGCTGCTGGTCGCGGTTGGCCTGCGGGATCGAGTGGTAGTCCACCCACACGTGGGTGCAGGGCCATCCCGTGGCGGCCAACGCGTCGAGCGCGGAGACCATGGCCGCGTAGTGCTTCCCGCTCGGGTCCGGATCGACGAAGCTCGTCCACTGGTGGCTGAAGAAGGCGATATCGCCCTCCTGCTTGAGGCTCTCCATCTTGGCAGTGGTATCGAGAAAGACCAGCGAACCCTGGTCTCGGGCCTCCTCGTGCGACAAGAGCCGGCCGACCCGCTTGAACTCGCTCACCTGCATGACGCACATTGGGAACCGGCTCCGCATGGTGTCGCTCGTCGCTGCCGCGACCTGGGAGCGGAGCTTACGGTCGCGGTAGACCTCGAGCTCCGCTGCGCGCTTCAACGTCTCCCGCACATTCCCGATGATGAGGCCGCCGAGCACAAGCCCGGTGATGCAGGTCAGCAACACGAGCAGCGCCAGCTGCGTCCAGAACTCAGCGCTGACGGCCGGCCAGCCCTCCGCTGGCGCCACACGCAGAGACCACTCGAGCCCAACCTCGGGCAACGACACCGCCGCCTCGACGGGGTCCGGCAGCACCGCGCCTGGGGGGTGGTCGGGCGAGTGCGCGAATACGCCCTGCACGTCCTCCAGCGACGGGTGCGGCACCCGCATCTGGAGCTGGTAGGCGAAGCGGGTCGTGCCCTCAACGTTGTGTCCGCCGTCAGCGAGGCGCTCGAGCTGGACGGGGCCGAGCAGCGTTGGGACGAAGGAGATCATCGTGGCAAAGGCGAAGAAGTAGGTCGGCTCCTGCACGCCCGCCACCTCCACGTCGGGGCCGGGGAAGTAGCAGTTCTCGCGCTGGAGCGCCGGGGTCGAGCAGTCCACGGTGTACACCTCGCCGCCCGCCAGAAACGGCTCGCTGGGGACGAACTCGGGCGCAAAACGCGTGAACACGGGGTGCCGGACAATGATCCCCGCGCCGCCCTGCTTCAGCTGGAGCGGACCGAGCACGAGGGTCTGGCGGCTTTGGATGGTCTGCAGGGCCCCGAGACGCCGGTCCGGGTCCACGAGGAGGTTGTGGCCCAGCACTGCGCGGTTGTCCTGCGTGGCGTCGACGAGGGGCACGATGGCGGTGACCTTGCCAAAGGGCGCGAGCTGTAAGTTGGAGATGCCCCCGTACGTCTCGATCAGCATCGCCGCGATCGTCTCGAAGCCGTTCTGCGTGAAGTTGGCGTCGTCCACTTGCAGCATGGCCGCAATGGCGTGCGTCGAGCTGATCGAGGTCCGGACCTGGCGTGCGAGCTCCTCGGCGTAGGTCACGGCCAAGCCCTGGACCGCCGCGCGGAATTGGTCCTTTGAGCAGGGATCGACCGTCCCGGCATTCCTATAGTCATACCACGAAATGTTCTTAGAACCCAGAAATGTTCTAAGAACAAAAACAATGTTCTTAGAACATAAGCCCGATGTGTTCAAACAAGATAGACTCCGCCAGAAATGTTCCAAGAACATTCCGTGGAAACCACAAAAGGTTCTTAGAACTTTCTTTGGTGGGGCTATAGGCGAACCAGGACGCTTCGCCACTGCTTGGGTCCTGGCTCGCCTGCTCGTCGTTGGAGAAGCGCCACGACCCGAGGCCCATGACGAGCGTCATGGCCAGGGCCGTCGCAAGTAACTTGGGAGACCTCCACCACGCCTTGCGCGCGCTCTTGGTCGACATGGCAGGCTTGGTCGCGGCCGTTGCCAGCATCTCGGAGGGTTTCCAACACACCTCCCGGACGCTCCTGGCCGAGGAGACGGGACTGATCACCGAATTGCAATGCCCGAACTCCAGCTCAGAGGGGCTGCACTGGTACGACGTGCTCCCGCTGTCGGCCGTCATCGCGCCGTTGAGTCAAAATGGCTACCGACAACGTTCCGCCAGCAAGTACGTGAGGTGAGAAAGGTAGCGCTCAACGAGCAAGTGCGCTCGACGTTCCACGAGCAAGTACGTGGGGCCCGCTTGCGGCCAGCCACACTCCAGCACCCTGAGCGGGAACGTCAGTAGAGACCTCCCAGATGGGGTTCGCGCAGCATCGCCGATGCATCGCTGGCGATGGCGATACATCGGCGACGTGGGCTTGCGCGCCAATGGCGGCGCCGGAGACGCCGCCAGGGGGGGCCCAGCGCGGATCCAAAAAATCCGCGCGGAGCGCCACAAATTTACATGTTTACGGCGTTTTCTCCGCGCGGATTTTTTGGATCCGCGCTGGGTCCCCCCTGGCGGCGTCTCCGGCGCCGCCCTTGGCGCGCACGCCCACGTCGCCGATGCATCGCCATCGCCAGCGATGCATCGGCGATGCTGCGCGAACCCCATCTGGGAGGCCTCTACTGACGTTCCCGCTCAGGGTGCTGGAGTGTGGCTGGCCGCAAGCGGGCCCCACGTACACTTGCTCGTGGCAGGAGACGACAGGGCGATTCGAGGCTCGAGGCTGTCCGACGTTTTCTCCGGCTCGCGGCAGCTGTCCAGTGAGCCTGCAGAGGCCCCGCGGTGGCCGCAACCCCCTCCTCCTCTGGAGGAGGAACGTCGAGGGCAACCCTTGAGCTTGAATCGGGCATTCTCGCCTGCGTTTGCGGGAGCTTTCGTGTGCTCTCGGCGGCCTTACCTCGAGGAGGAACGTCGAGGGCCACAGTCGATTTGAATCGGCCGTGCTCGCCTGCGCTCGCAGGAATTTCCGTGTGCTCTCGGCGGTCTTACAGCCTCGGGATGCCTTCCCGTAGCCGAGCCTCGCCGAGGGGCACTCTGGGGATGCCCGGCCCGAGCGGCCGCCGGAGGCCCGAGCACGGTGAGGTTCACTCGGGGGGACCAGGTCAGGGGGGGAGCACTGAGCTGGAATCGACGACATATCGCCGATAGACCTCCATCTCCTCCTCCTCCTCCTCCTCCTCCTCCTCCTCCTCCTCCTCCTCCTCCTCCTCCTCCACCTCCTGGAATCGACGATATGTCGCCGATAGACCAAGGTCAAACAGCGGGGCGACAGCCTGGCACGGACTCCGCGGCAACAAAACGCACGCCGGGCTCGTACGCGTAGTGCCGCCCCTTCCCCCTCCTGGAGGTGGATGGATGGATGGATGGATGGATGGATGGATGGATGGATGGATGGATGGATGGATGGATGGAACGCTGGGGGGGCAGTGTGCTTCAGTGCCATGGCTTGCTCATCTAAGGGCGATGCTCTGCCTGATGTATTGCCCCCAACGTAGACTCGAAAGCGGACGAGGGGCCAACGCTTCTGGGAGGGAGGCTGCCACAGATTTGGGCGACCGAGGCTACCAGCTTCCGAAGACGCTCGCTGGTTCGCGCCACAGGACGCTCCTCCTCCTCCTCCTCCTCCTCCTCCTCCTCCTCCTCCTCCTCCTCCTCCTCCACCTCCTCCCCCTCCTCCTCCTCCTCCTCCTCCTCCTCCTCCTCCTCCTCCTCCTCCTCCTGCCATCCAGCAGCTGCGCCCCTCGCCGAGGGCGTGCCGGGGGTGCCCAGAGCGCCCCGGAGCGGTCGCCGAGGGCTCGATGTGCACGGCCGGGAGGCCACGCGGCAGCGTTTGGCGGCGACGGCGAAGAGCAGAGGCAGACGAGCAGGCCCTGGCGAGGCCGAGGGGCGACGAGGAGATGCTGCTCGGCGCGCGGGCCGGGGCTCTCCTCCTCCTCCTCCTCCTCCTCCTCCTCCTCCTCCTCCTCCTCCTCCTCCTCCTCCTCCTCCTCCTCCCTCCTCCAACTCATCATCATCGTCGTCGTCAGCATCATCTTCCTCCTCCTCCTCATCCTCCTCCTTTGTCAGTTGGGAGGCCAGCCACGTCCTCACCAACTTCGTGGATTCGCGGTGGCCGTCGGGAAGTCGGCTTCTTCCGCGGCCGCCACCACCACCGCCATCTCGGCCGGGCAGATCTCTGAGCTTTGCTGGCCCCCCCCCAACGCTTGATGGGAAGCTGGCGGCAGCCGCGCACCAGCCAGGGCCTGTGCAGAGCCCTCGACAGGTGCTCGTAGAAAACCTTGGTTCAGAAACTTGGCGCGCAGAAGCGGTATCGTGAAAGCAGCATCCTGGGAAAGACTGTTAAAATTCAAGCCCCTCGCGGGCCACCCACAATTTATATTTACAGCTTCGTCGTCGGCGACGCGGGCGCCGACGAGGAAGCTGCCAGTGCGGCAACTCCCTTGCCAACAAAGAGACATATCACGCGATTGACTGTGAGAACCGGCCTCGGCGACGAATGCGATCCATGTTGCAATCCCGTTGCACAAATACGCGGCTGACTGTGAGAACCGGCCTCGGCGACAAATGCGATGTATAGCGCAATCCTCTTACAACTGCGCTCAGAACTCCTCCATCTCGCAGGGTATCCCAAGGATCCAAGGATCATTATTCGCCGAAATAACGTCCCTCCCCCCCGCCCCAACATTATCCGGCACGGCGAGCAAAAATGGGAAGCTATTTGGCGGGCGGCGTCGCGGGCGCCGACGCTGAAGATGCGCGCGCGCATTCAAAATGCATTTCCCCACACGGCGCGATCCTCGTACAAACATGACGAGATGGAGGAGGGGATGGCGAGCAACGCTCTTGACAAAAAAACGATGCATCTTGCAATCCTCTTACAGATGTGCTCAAAGTTCCTCTGTCGTACCAGGTTGTCTAGAAACCACGACTCACTTGGAGAGACAAGACCAAAACCCCGACAAAATCCCACCAGCCCAGAATTGCCGGGATGGCTCTCGCCGGGCCGCGTCGCGGGCGCTGACGCTGGAGCTGCACGTGGAGTCCATACGCGTGTACAGCGCACGGTGCAGTCTCCCTACAGACGCGACGAGACGAAGGAGGAAATGGCGAGCAGGAAACAAACGACGCCGTGCTCACAGATGCTCTGTCGCGCACGGTCGCGAGGAGATCATCATTCGGCGGGGAAGAGAACCCCCCGACAGCATCTTGCCCACCCGCCAACGAAGGGAAGCTGCGTCATTCGCGTCACCCGCGGCCTCGGCGCAGGGCCCCACGTTCAGGCCGCGCTGGTTCGGCGCCCCAGGAGAGCTTCCGGGCTTCAGCTCTGAGTCGCAGTGGCCACCCCCCCATTGCGCTCTCACGCACCAGTATCGGGTCGGGCGAAAGGGGGGGATAGCAAAGGGGGGGTTTGAGAATCAGCTCACGTAGCTGATTTTCCCGGCGCCTCCCGGCGCCGGGAGCGGCCATGTATCGAGGAATTGGCCCATCGGTGGGGCCGAAACCAGCTGCATGCAGCTAATTTCGTAACCCACCCGACAGTAGTGGCTGGCCCCCCAGCTCCCCCCCGCCCTTTATCTCCTCATCTGGCCTCTCCTCCTCGTCCTCCTCCTCGGATTTCTCCTCCTCCCTTCTTCCTCCTGCTCCTCTTCTTCCTCCTCCTGCTCGTCCTCCTCCTCCTCCTCCTCCTCCTCATCATCATCACATCACCATCCTCATCATCATTGTCATCATCATCATCATCCTCATCATCATCATCATCATCATCATCATCATCATCATCTCGTCATCATCAGCATCATCAACATCATCATCATCATCATCATCATCATCATCATCATCATCATCATCATCATCATCATCATCATCATCAGAGAGAGCGTGATCCACCGCCGCTTTACTGTTGAAAATTGCCGCCCTTTTCCTCCGGAACCGGGGTCCGCCCCTTCCGAAAACACCAAATCCCCCCCCCCCCTCTGACCCCCCCCCCCCCCCGTCAAACCCCCCCCCTCTCCCCTAACCCCCCCCCCCCTCCCCCTGTAAAAACTGAGGGGGTGTCACTGCATTTCGAAGCCCCTCCCCCCCACCCCCCTCCGGATCCGGAAAACCGGGGGGGGTCACTACCGGTTCGAACCCCCCCACCCCCCTCGAAAACCGGAGGGGGATCACTACCGGTTCGAACCCCTCCCTACCCCCCCACTCACCGCCAGCAAACGACTCCCGGTCCCTACCACCGTCCGCATCACATCCTCCACTGTTGTTCCCAGCACCACTGTCCTCACCACCACTGTCCCCACTGTGTCCCCACCAGTGCCCCCACCACTGTCGCACTGTCCCCATTGTCCCCACCACTGTTCCCACCACGGTTCCACTCTCCCCACTGTCTCCACGGCCCCAACCACTGCCCGACTATCCCCACTGTCCCCACTATCCCACTGACTCCGCCGCTGTCCCACAGAGCTGTCCCACTGTTCCCACCACTGTCCCCACTGTCCCCACTGTCCCCACCACTGTCCCCACTGTGCCTCTGACCCATTGTCCCACCGCCGTCCTCGCCACCGCCTTCACCACTGTCCCCACCACCATTATACCCTCCACTGTCCCACTGTTTCCACCTCATTCCCACTGTGCCCACACCACTGTCCCCACCACCACCGTCCCCACCACTGTCCACTGCCCCCCCTGTTCCCACCATTGTCCCCACCACTGTCCCCACCACTACCGGCCCTCTACTGTCCTACTGTCCCACTGTCCCCACCACTGTCCCGCTGTCCCCTCACCACTGTCCCACCAACACCGTCCCCACCTCTGTCCGCACCCCCACTCGGTTTTCGAGGGGGGGGGGGTTCGAACCGGTAGTGACCCCCCCCCCTTTTCATGATGAACTGGGGGGGGGGAGGGGAGGGGTTCGAACCTGTAGTGACCCCCCCCCCGGTTTTCCAGAGGGGTGGGGGGGAGGGGTTCGAACCGGTAGTGACCCCCCCCCGGTTTTCCGCCAGCAGCGGTAGAACACGCTCTTTTCTCACCATCATCAACCACCATACCATCATCATCATCATCATCATCATCATCGTCATCGATCATCATCCTCATCACCAACACCACATCCACATCATCATCAGCAGCGCATCAGTCAG